TAGCAATGATTCACTTTTTCTAGATTCACAATGGATCCCACTAACATCCAAAACCGCATGAGAAAAGTCGCAATGGTACGTCAATGAGATTGAGATTGGACCTAAGCAGTGATTTGAGGGCAGGCGATGTAAAAACTGCGTTTGTATTCTTTAGGGTCACTCTGTCATCAACTAACCTAACCTCGCTGTTATGATTTTTTAATCCATTCGAAAGCAGCAGAAGCAAATCGGCTATAGCAAGGAGGTTCCACTGGGAAAGTAGTAAGGTGAGGTGACATACAGTAGCGGCAAAAAAAAACTTGGAACAAGCCCAAGTCGCGCTTTTTGTAGTTTACATACAATTCTTAAATTGCACATGAAAACTTTGTTTGCTTTAACAAAGTACGCCTTAAAATGCTATTCCAAAAATAAAGTTTGTTCATTAGATTAGTTACAGGGACAGAATTTTCAGATTATTGCGATACGGCATGCCGCTGCTACTCTGATATTGGACCGGTTTTCAAAGTTTCTAATGCTTTGCAATCCATCGGAAGAAGATCACACCTGTCTGAGTGTTCGTTCTTTTTCCATTTATTTTTTTTACAACTCTCGAGAAACCTATGTTGTTCCCAAAGCATTAGAAACTCTGAAAACCGGTCCAATATCAGAGTGGCAAGCCGCATCGCTATAATATTCAAAATTCTGTCCCGGTAACGAATTTAATCAACCAACTTTATTTTTAGAATAGCCTTTTCAGGCGTACTTGGTTTCAGCAAACAAAGTTTTCATGTGCAATTTAAGAATTTTATGTAAAACTATTGAAAAGCGCGCGACTTGGGCTTGCTCCATTTTTTTTCGCCGCGACTGTATCACCCTATGTTCTACTAATAATTGCTCCAACACCCAACAACGCAGAATGTCCACGTTATAAAAGTAACGTTCAATTAAATTTTTAATCAGTTTTCTTATGAAGGTTGCACAGGTGGTCTTGTCATGAAATGACCCTTTAACTCAGGTTGACCATCTATTGTTCGAGTGAAGCATAATCTTCCTGGTTCAAAGAAAGGATCTACAGGAATTCCTTCTCGACCTATAACGACGGTAGAAACTGAAATTCTAACAAATGTTCTGCACAAGCAAAGAGGAGATTCCTGAAATGGTAGCAAACACATGAAAACATTCTGCAAATTGGTAATGACGCTACAATACCGACACCACCACGAGCACATATAACGCAAAGCTAAATCCCAGCAATCCATTCAAAATGTTATCCCAAAAAGTTCAGAGGTAATTGATATGAACATTCTAATCTCTGCACAATACCAGCACCCACCGTTCCTATTTTGGTGGACCCATTCCTGGTGGAGGTCCACCGGGACCAGGACGCCTATTTAAAAATGTAAGGGATTAGGTGGAAAGCAGACAGAAACTGTAAAAAGAGCTTACGTCGGTATCAGAGGAGGTGGGTAGCCGCCTGTGCCAGGAGGTGGACCGGGAGGCCCTCGATGTGGAGCTCCTCCCGGACCACCAGGTCCTGGTCGTGGTGGCATCGGTGCATGCCGTCCACCTGGAGGAGCCGGAGCAGGCCGAGGCACTGGCGACGGCCCTGATGGCATTGGCCTGAAATTGATTCTCCACAAAGTAGAATTTTTGAAACGTACGAAAAATGATAACTATTGAAGTTAGTCCCGGAGTCTCATTACTTATCTGAATGTGTAATAACAATGTGAAACTCCAAAAATTTATTCCAAAAAACTCAAAAGACAGCAAAAGTCTCAAAAGTTTTTAAAATATCTTATCTTGCGATCGTCATATCGAATTCGTTGGGATATTCGGGCCTTAGGCGGAGGTGTAGTCAGGGTACAGCATGGGGATGTGCGAAATGGCGGTGTGAGTACGACCCCCCCCCCCTCGAAGAGGGTCCAGATACGACCCCCCCTCCTGCTCTAACTGACAACCAGATGCATGTTCACCACAAATGGCTTCCTGAAATGGAATCTGGATTTTCGAAAGGCGGACTCTGTTCTTATCCAGGCACGGTGTCATCAACATCTTCATATCACGGAGATGGGGAGGATGTAGTGCTGCTTTAAGTGCAGCAACCTAGCGCTTTTGCCTAGGGTAACTGGCCTTTAGAGGCAGTTGTAATCATGGCTTTGTCTAGCAAAAGACATAACAGTTGTCTCAATGTGGAAATATCCCACGATATCGTATCCTAAAGCTCAAATGAAATACGTGTATTTGCAACTTACAATTTAATATTTTTTCGCAGAGATACACTGCCAGCATCTAACTTATGAGATAGTCCTTCAAAAGAGCTGTTTGCTTGAAAAGACGTAGCGGAGTACAAGAATTTTCAACCGAATGATCCTGGGCGCAAAACTAAGGCTCTTCTCCAGTGAGTGCCACATTTCTTCTAGTGTTTTCAGATTTTTTTTTATTCTGAATAATCCTTAGGATGGTGCAGCAGTTCACGGTTGATATTGAGAGGTCAATCGAAGGTTCCTCTGCAAAACTCGTATCAACAAATGAGCTAAGTGGGGGAGCTCGCATTAACCGGTAAGCGGTCTTAGCCGTTCCTCCTGTGTTCCTTAAAGAATCGCGCGAGAATCACAGGAAACTGTTTACCTGCGATTTTATTACAGTGCTCGTTTAGGCTTTTTCATGAGCGATTTCCTTTCGAAATTGTCAAGATGGAGATTGACGAGAAGGAAATGCGTAAAGAGATACAATTTGCCATTCGAAACATTCACGGAATCAGGTACTGGCGATTTTCTTCCAAATATTCAGGTTGCAGGTGCATTCTATTTTCCATGCATGAGCTAATTACAGGGTCGGTCTTTTCACACCGGACATGGCATTTGAGGCGATAGCAAAGAAACAGATTGCACGCTTGAAAGAGCCCTCGTTGAAATGTGTGGACCTGGTCGTAAATGAACTTGCCAACGTTATAAGACAATGCGCAGAATGTGTTAGTTTTACAAAATTTCATTTTTGTCGTTTTGCTAGCTTTGACAAAATTAGCGCTGTGTATTTAGTGTTCAAGTATGCTCTGAAAGTGGCCTTATTCCCTTTCCCACTGTGTGCTAAACTTCTCCGGATAGCCACGTCAGGCAGCAATTCTACCACGTGACGGGCTGCTAACGCATACTCTGAATGTCTTATTTGAAAAGGGAAAGGTGTTGTCACAGTCGACAGACATCGAATAAAGTTCAGCTGGTTTCCAAGCCCTGTTAGCGCTCAGTTCCATTCGAACTTATACGCTCCAGCACCCGTAGGCACCGTTCAAACTTCACTATGACGCGCTGTAACGCGCCTTCCACTGAGAAGGCGCTCCAGTGTTATAGACGCTAATGCAGTCGCAGACGCTAATCGATCGGTGCCGGCGCTTTGAGAGAGTCTAGGGTAACAAAAGGGCAGGGCGTTGGCTTCACACAAATCTGTACCATTCTATTCCTTACACTCTCTCAAAGCCTAGCGAGCAATGCCGATCGACACCAGACTGCGTGTTAGGCCACGCGTACCCTACTATTCACATATTCTCCCAAAACACAAGCGGCCGGCGCCGATCGATTCCCGTCTGCGGCAGGATTCGCTTCTATAACAGTGGGGCGTCCTCGCGATAGCAGTCCGTCGAAGCGCATCAACGCAAACTCTGAACGCTGCCACAGCGTTATTTGCGCGTGCTGTTTCTTTCGCAGCTATTTACCGCTACTTGCGGAAAGGGGAGCAATTGCATCCATAACACCACGTCGGGCTAATCCGGCAACACTGTTCGATTACCATCTTGCTTTCCCATCTTTGCCGGCGGTTGTTTACCGCTAGGTTCCTTGTCAGACACTTCAACTGTTTGACGTATGGACGTGCAAGCGTGACGGTGCACATCGTTGCAGGCCTTCAGCACAACCCTACATGCAAATTTAGTCGTCTGCATTGTGTAGTAATAACGGAGGCGCTCACAACGATACCTTCTCTGTAGGACATTCCGAGGTACGGCTAGGGTTTGGCAATGTTGGGGGTTTTTTCAAGTACCCGTTTCTTCACCTGTAGGGTACTTTGTTCAGCGTTATTACTTACCTTCTGAAAGAGCTATGTGGATTGAAATTGTCCACCTGTCTTGATATGAATAGTGGCAAGTGTTAGTTGGTAGGAATTAATTTCTTTCTACTTATTAAAACTTGCTGAGAGTATAGTGGCAAGGCTTTCTACCCTCCGGGCCAGGTAAATTGGTCCAGACGTGTCTGCGAGACTGGCTTGTACGACGGCTGACCCCGTGAGTCTTAAGCTGCGTCGCAATGAGTGAACCTCTGGTTCTGAGTAAAAGTAGAGCGCGTGTCACATCTCAAAAAAGAGATTGATCAACGGAGAAAGCTTTATTCTTTTCAGTGTCTTTCATTTTGACGCATTTTAGTTTTGCTTTGCCTATTATCTTGAAATACCAATGGTCTACCTTCACATAAGTGTGTGCATGATTTTTCAGCTATCACGTTATCCGCGCTTACGTGACGAAATCGAACGAATCGTTGTCACTAGGGTTCGAGAAAAGGAACAATATGCCAAAAGTCAAATCTCACTTATTGTTGATTATGAACTTGCCTACATGAACACTAATCATGAAGACTTTATCGGGTTTAGCAAGTACGTTAGTTTATTCTTGTTTTTCCAATGATTTTGATATTACATAGTCTGCAACCAAATGCATGAGACCCGTTCCATTAGACATTTCCATTATAATCTGCAGTCTTAACATTGGAACTCCGAAAAACATGAAGTATTGCTCTGCCCGAGTCCTCATAGTCATCTGAATGTTCGGGAACGGATGATGCTCCAATATTCATTCCAAAAGAGGAGTTCCAAAAAGCCCTTCGAGATAGGTTTTTGTTCTGCCTCCTGCGTAGTACTTTGGTCCGTATGAAGGTCATTATGCCGATGATGAGGCGATTCAGTGCGGTTGCGACTGGCGCGTTGCCAAACCCGCTTTCCTTCAGTTTTGTAATAAACATATGGCAAGACTGTATCATATCGTTGGTATCAGTCGTTTTCCATCAATTATTGGCTTGCCCTCTTAACAACTGGTCTGCTTGCTTTGGTGGAAAATGGGTTTGGCGCCACGGCAAACGCAGCCGCACTGACACGCCCCATCATCCATGTCGAATTAGACTCAGCGTGCAAACAAAGGCGCAGTTTCTCTTTCCTGCCCGAATCATCCGGAATCAATCCATTTTTCATAGACTTTTTTCTGTGAGGCTTTCAGCTTCAGCTGAAAATTTGTTCCAGAGGTACTTTGACTTCCTGAATACGAACATCACAACCGCTTGGCGTAAACCTGGCGCCGGCGCGAAAATACTTTAAATCCTTTGCACTCGGTGGTAGTTTCACCTCCTCGTCGCGAATGTCACATTCGCTACGACGCCTGGACCAGACGCCATCGTTGTGATAATCACAAGCAGGTCGTACTTGAGGCGAGGGAGGGGAGGGTCGTATTTGGTCTGAGAAAAACTTTTTTTACAGATAATTTCTCTTGTCTTAGACGGAAAAAAAAAAATGCATGAAGGGGGGGGGGGTCGTATTTGATCGTTGTTAGAAGGGCCGCTTGTATGCAGCAGGGTGAATTAGGGGAGGGTCGTATTGCTGCAGAAATTATAGCCGTGAACCGGCGCTGGAGCACCACAGACACGCCACGCCGAAATGCCCTGGGTCATCGAATTCGCTGAGAACTTGTTCCAAGGAGTCTTCAACCTGTACACCAACATCACATCTGCATGGGGTGCCAAGAAAGTTAAGGATGGGGGATTATGGCAAGAAAATATTATAAAGAGCTTTTTATGTGTATTGATTTTTACGTGTTTTGAATCTTTTAGCCTTTTTGGAGTGAAGGTTTTAGAGCTTCCTTAACTTCTAAGCCTTCGCTTGTGAATTGGTTGAATTTTGATTATTTCCAGTGGTTTTGTTCAGTAATGTATTTATTCAGCGCTGAAGCGAAAGCAAATCAGGGACAAACATCGTCCAAGAAAAATCTTGGGGTGCAAGTGATTCGAAAAGGATGGCTGTCCATCAACAATATTTCCTTCATTAAAGGCTCGAAAGATTGCTGGTTTGTGCTGATGTCAGATAGTTTGAGCTGGTTCAAGGACGACGAGGTATGAATTGGCTTTTACTTTTGTTATTAGGAGTTTATTACCTTTTTGTTGTTAAGGAGAAGGAAAAGAAGTACATGCTGCCGCTTGACGGTATCAAATTGCGTGATATTGAAAGCGGGTTCATGTCTCGCCAACACAAGTTCGCACTCTTCTACCCGGACGGAAAGTGAGTCACTTATAAAATTAGTTGGACTAGCGGTTGCCTGCATCACTATTACCATTTGCTTTGTCGTTGCATTCATATTACTGACTTGGAGCATTTCCCATTTACCAAACCTTTCTTTGGTCGTTTTCAGAACGTAAGTTGCAACAAGAACAACAAGTATGTGAATGAATCTGGTAAATGGGGTGCGATTGTTTAATTCCTATTGCCGTAATGTTATCCTTTGGGCAACCTTCGCTTCAGCTCTCTCACTGTTAACAGCAGATTTTTGATTAATATTTCAGGAAGTGAGTGATGATGTGTTAGCATATGCTAACATTACGTAAGCGCAACCATAAGCGGTCGTGTTGTATCGTTGTAGTGTGATTAGCGCTAGCATTGAACGCTCGTTTCCCATTTAACCCACTTTCCTACTGCACGTGGCAATCTCTGCTATCCTCTGCTGCTCAGTTTCTGCTCATGAAAACCTTCGTTCCTGTAGAGGCATTGCGCAAGTACAATTTCTAGGCTGTGAGATCGGAGACATGATTTCTCTATACG